GTCCAGTGCCTTGCCAGCATAACTCTAAGCAACCTTCTCTATATGCTTCATCCGTTGATGGACCAACCGCTCCAAAAGGGCAAGTCGATGGGCCGCTTCATGTTCTGGCCCGTGCTGATGGCGGGGCTGGAAAGTACATGTAGCTCTCAGGCGTTGTCAGAAAGGCCGTTCATTGTGAGCTCTCTACAGGAGCTTTGTCGATGTCTCGGCGACATGAGCGCCCTTGATGCGGCAGTGTTTCTCCAGTCGGCATGGACCCTGGGGGAGGAAAGTTATACAGGGAACATGCAAAGGGTGCGCACTTGGGGCGACGTTTTTGAGGGAATGGGCGTGCATGGTGTTTTCTTTTTTTAGCAGAGTAGAAGCTAGAGGGCGTCGGTGCATACCCGTCGTGCGGATATATATGTTCATCTAGGTCACTATGCCAAGAAACACTGACTGACCAATGTGGGCATGAGCAACAGTATGTAGTGATCGAGTTTATATTAGCTATCTCAGACTGTTAGTGACTAATCAGGTCTAGCCATGTCAGGGCTGAGGCCAACCTCATCTCCTCCTGTTCTTATCTCCCGTCTTTATCTCTGCTTATCTTTGTTTCCATCACTAACCCGAATGCTCCGACTCCGCGGAAATGAGCCAGCCAGTCGCCAATGGACCCGGAACTGTTGTCAAGCAGAACGCCATGAAAGTCAAGCCTTTGGGATTCATCGACCAGTCAGAAGGTGTACAGATATCGGTTTGGTCTTGGCGGTGGCTTCGGAGATCCAAGATATGGCCCGATCCGGGGGATGGAGTAGATAAGGCAGATGTTCCAGTTCTACATATCTCTTACGTTCGGGAGCATGAATGGGCACAGGGAGGATGATCCTGTGAGTCTAAGACCTGGTGGCGCTGTCTCCCCGAGGCTCTAGGCATGGGAATCGCGCCTGGTTGTACTGCCGCGACAAACGACTGTATTTTCCAGGATATTGCCAGCATGCAGTCATTCACTCGCGATTCTGACGTTATCTCTGTATGCTCTGCTAAACTTTTGCTTCTTAGCATGGTTTGAATTCTTCCCACCGGGCTTGGCTGACCTTTCCATCCTGTTTCGACCTGCTTGGGAAACCGCTCTGAGTCGATTCTTTCATATGGCATCTCCTAGGAGTTAAGGATAAGCACTGTTCCTCTATTTTCTGTTGCTAAGTCTTTCATTATCTCCGCGGCAGATAGAAACGTCATTGTGTCTGTGAAATGGCTGCGATACTGGTGCTTGGGCCTACCATTATATAGTTTCTGGCCACCTCGGCTTGCAATCTGTTCCTGTAATCAAGCCAAACATAAAGATATCGAAATAGTCTTATTGAAACAAAATTGATAACGGCTGCAATACAAGATGGGAATGCTGAAGCTGGCATTTGCCAACCCCGAGATCAACCCGGTCAACCACAAAGCAAGGTCGATTCCATTGTTGAATCCCGTTGATCGCTATGGTCGCGTCTTCTTCTTTTCCTGGTTAGGATTCATGGTGGCATTCCTCTCCTGGTATGCATTTCCCCCGCTGGTAAGTGGTCTTGAGCTCCATAAGTGGCCCCTCTAACAGGCACAGTTGAGCGTCACGATCAAGAAGGACCTGCATATGACGCAAGACCAGGTTGCCAACTCCAATATCGTGGCTCTACTGGGAACGTAGGTGACCTTGCACTGTCAGTCAGGTCCTCTGCTAACTAGACAGCCTTCTCATGCGATTTATTGCCGGTCCCCTGTGCGATCGGTTCGGTCCGCGATATGTCTTTGTCGGATGTCTCCTCTGCGGTGCCATCCCCACCGCCATGGCCGGACTAGTCACCTCTCCCCAAGGGCTGATTGCCTTGCGTTTCTTCATCGGGATCCTCGGAGCGACCTTTGTGCCCTGTCAGGTGTGGTGCACGGGCTTCTTCGATAAAAACGTGGTGGGAACTGCAAACGCGCTGGCTGGAGGATTCGGCAATGCCGGCGGCGGTATCACCTAGTATGTTGTCCGCCCCAATCCTCTGTGCAAAGCTCATATGATCAGCTTCGTCATGCCTGCCATCTACGACTCCCTCGTTCACTCGCAAGGACTGACTCCGCACCGGGCCTGGCGGGTGGCATACGTGGTCCCGTTCATCATTATCGTCACACTCGCCCTGTCGATGCTTTTCCTCTGCGAGGACACCCCGACGGGCAAATGGTCCCAGCGACAGGGGAGCAGTCCCATTATACAGAGCAATATCGTCGACCTCCACCGGTCTAGCGGATCTGGCGCCCCGTCCAGCACCAACGTCTCCACCGTGCCAGAGAAGAAAGGTGTCTCCACACCGCAGATCGTCGATACCGAAGCGCAACCGGTTATTGATATCAGTCTTGCAAACAACGAAATGATACAAAAGCCGACGCTTAGAGAAGCACTCCGGGTGATCTTCTCCCTGCCAACGCTGGCGCTCGCTCTGCCGTATGCCTGCTCCTTCGGCGCCGAACTGGCCATCAACTCCATTCTCGGCGCGTACTACCTGAAGAACTTCCCCAGCCTCGGCCAGACCAAGTCCGGCCGGTGGGCTGCCATGTTCGGGCTGGTCAATGTCGTCTTTCGACCAGCAGGTGGGTTCATGGCGGATCTCATATATCGGTATACCAAGTCGGTGTGGGGCAAGAAAGTTTGGCTGGTCTGTCTGGGGGTGTGTATGGGAGCATTGGCGCTGACTGTCGGACTGTTGGACCCAAAGAGTGAGGGACTGATGTTTGGACTGGTGGTGTTGATGGCGTTCTTCATTGCGGCCAGTAACGGGGCGAATTTCGCCATTGTGCCTCATGTGCACCCAACTGCAAATGGTAAGGTCAGCACACTATTCTATCAATCGTACGCTAATGGATTCAGGAATCGTCTCGGGCATTGTCGGGGGAATGGGTAACTTTGGAGGAATCGTCTTTGCGATCATCTTCCGCTACAACGGCACACACTACGATCGTGCTTTGTGGATTATTGGGGCGATAGTTGCCGGGGTCAATCTTTGTGTTTCTTGGATTAGACCTGTACCTCGAACATAGAGTAGTTTCCACAATAAGACATGGATCGATCATCATTCATCATCGTTCTTCGTCTGTCTTACTTCCTCCTGTACTTCGCTGGTCAGCGTCACAGCGAGCACAGACGGGATGACAACAACCAGCGCCCCCATACATAGTCCCCAGTCTATGGCGAACTGCGTCATGGCTGGCTTGGCTAGCGCATTCAACCGCCAGGCCATCGCACCCCCAGTCGCCTGGAACGTCTTGTACGCGCCAACGAGAATGGCCGCTACTGCGGGGGAATTCGACCGAGCCCCCATAAGCCAGTAGCAGAACCCTTGCCAAAAGGCATCGTACGCCCCGTAGAAGATATACAAAAAGATCGGACCAGTAGACAGCTGGCCCTGCGTGTAGTCGATGTCCTGCTTGTGGCCATGTGCCCTGCGCCGGTCATACCATTTCTGAAACGCGTATCCCCCGCCCCAGATAGCCATGCCAGTCACGAAGAGGAAGAGCCAGCCCACTCTGGCCCGGTTCTGGCGGTTCACCCGCGGCATATCGAGGATCAGACCGATGACGAGCCCGCCCAGCATCTGCGCCATCCAGTACAGGGCGCCGTTGAGGGACCGCGTGCGGATGTTGAAGGTCATCCCGTTGACGATGTTCTGCTGGTACGAGTAGAAGACGTTGGCGCAGAAGAACATGGGGATCATGCAGAGAACCCGCCAGTCGGTCATTATCTGGACCGTCAATTTGGCCGTGCGACGCCAGTTTCTCTCCGTCTCCGGCGTGGGCTGCAGCCCTTGCACGCGGACGGAAGCCGGCGGGCAGATCAGGGCACCTAACAGCCAGCCGATGGCCATGATGATCAGCAGGGCGATGTAGGTTCCGTCCGTGACGGTCCCGCTGTGCGAGTGGTAGTTGAGACCGAAGCTGGCGAGGGAGCCCACGCCGCCGCCTAGGTTGAAGATGATCCAGAACGCGGCGATGGCCCGGCCTTTTTGGGATTCAGGCACGTACGTCGTCATGATCGCGCCTTGAGCTACCCACAGGAAGGACGCGCCGATACCGAGAATGGCGCCGGCGGCGATGACGAACGCTCCGTTGGCAGTATCTAACAGAGTCAGTATTGGTCACTGAAGGGGGGCGTTCTCATACGGTTGAAGCATAGCAGACTGCCGGAGTACAGGGAGTAAGTCCATCCTCCGATTAGCAAGCATACTCGAGGACCGACACGGTCGAAGATCGGCCCAACGACAAACAAAGCCGTAGCAGCTGTCGCAGCGAGCAAGGCCACTGTCGCGTTGGCGGCAATGGTAGGGTCAACCTGTCCGGAGCCTCCCAAGCCAGAGAGAGCGTTGTACATCTGAAAATTAGTGAGTGACTTGAACAGATGGAGGAAGTCCTACCCCCGGACAACAGAAACAGATCAGGCTGATGAGGATGATCTGGGACCACGAGTGCGTGTAGATCCGATATGGAAGCGATCGCTGCCGGGAGACTTGTCCAGACTCCACGGCAGCATCATCCTGATGAATTTCGCTGTGACCCATATTGACTGTTCTGTCAGTGAGGTCATTCGATTGCGGAAGAGGGCAGGGGAGGACAGTCGGTTTTAGAGCCATCATGAGGCCTGTGTGACCCTTGTTCCTTGCTGCCAAAATGCGGAGAAACCAGGCTAATGTCAGCCATGGCCGGTCTATCCCTTGACCGAAGCGTCGTTCGATCGTATAGAAGGCGTCTAACTCACAACAGACACTCTGTTGTAGATCATTCCGGTACAACTGCCCACACTGGCCAGTTTGATATCCGAATTCTCCACAGGCATGTTCTGTACAACCCCGGATTGGCACTCCTACCCGAGACAATGTAACCCTGTCAAGTAACCCCCACGCGACACGAGGCTAACCGAGGATATAGAATATAGAATCCCTGAAACTACTGTGTGGTCTTTCATCTCACTTGTCAGACTCATTTCCGAGAAGCATGGCAACATGGATCTAGCCGGCCTGTCACAGCTTCAGACCGAAGCCGTCAATCCCCGGACGGCGCAGATCGATCAGCTCTCGACCCTGGAGATGTGCCGATTGATCAACGAAGAAGATCACCGCGTCGCGCCTAGTGTCACAGCATGCCTCCCCGACATTGTCGCTGCAATTGATGCGCTAACTCCGCGCGTGCGAAATGGTGGACGAGTCATCTACGTGGGTGCAGGGACAAGTGGAAGGTCAGGACCACAGTACCACCGAAAAATAACTCTCCGAAAGGATGTGTAACTAATCCAGATGGTCAGACTCGGGATCCTCGATGCATCCGAGATCCCTCCGACATTTGCTGCTCCGCCATCGCAGTTTGTCGGGCTGATCGCGGGCGGCGATGCTGCCATTCGACGAGCTCAAGAAGGAGCCGAAGACAGTGTCGCTGCTGGTGAGGCCGACATGGAAGCTCTGAACCTCAACCCGGGCCTCGACAGCGTCATCGGCATAGCTGCGTCCGGTCGTACACCCTACGTCCTTGGATGTTTGGCATGCGCGAAGAAGATTGGCTGCCTCACCATCGGTGTGGTCTGCGCGTCGCCCTCGGCAATAGGGACGTCGGGGACTGTTGACTTCCTGATTGCTCCGCTACCGGGGCCGGAGGTTGTGACGGGCAGCACCCGGTTGAAGGCGGGAACGGCTACCAAGCTGGTGCTGAATATGCTTAGCACTGGTACCATGATCCGGACGGGCAAGACTTATGGAAATCTGGTACGTGTTTGCAGCAGGGTGAAAGAATGCCGTTGACCGAATCAGATGGTAGATCTTGTAGCCTCCAATCTGGAGCTGGAACAACGATCGCGCAATATTCTGCGAAGGCTGAGTGCACGCTGCGCCGGTATGACGGACGCGGAGCTGGACACGTTGTTGGCAAGATGCAAACGAAAGGTAAAATTAGCTCTTCTCGTGGCCGAAACGGACCCGGTTGAACATTGCGAGGAGAGGTTGGCATCTGCTGGGGGTGTGCTCGCCAATGCTCTAGAGACATCTTTGGCCAAGGATGTACAGTCCCCTGCGAAAGACAGGCAATATGTACTCTGCATTGACGGCGGAGGGACCAAGTGCGCGGCCGTCATCGCGGACCTGGAAGGCAGCGTTGTCGGGCGAGGGACGACCGGCCCGTGTAATCTGTACGCTTTTACCGGTTCCTTTGAGAATCACAGCTGACGGCGACAGGACTGATGGCAACAGCGTGGGGGAGGTAGTTCAGACGCTCATCACTGCTACAAAGGACGCTTTGTCCACCATTCCTTCCTCGGAGTGCCATCTCCAGTCTCTTTTCAAGTCAGTCTGGATTGGTTTGGCGGGCATTGACCGGAAGAACTTCCGGGAGTCCCTTTTACCAAAAATCTGCGTGCTCTTTGGATTGACGGAGGAGGAGATCCGTCTAACAAACGACGTGGATCTGCTGGCGGCCGCTGCAAGTCCCCACCAAGACTGTTCATCTCCAGTCGTCGTCATTGCTGGCACCGGGAGCGTCGCCATGCGATACAATCGAAGTGACGACGGCAATGAGTACTCCCGAGTCGCTCGATCCGGCGGCTGGGGACACATCTTGGGTGATGAAGGGGGCGGATATGCCATCGGGCTGGAAGCCATCAAATACACCTTGGCCGTTCTCGAGGACATGAGACTTGGAATACGCGTTGAGCCGTTGGGAAGTTTGAGGAGGCAGTCCTCAAACGACTGGGATGTGTCAACTGCGGGCCAAAGCAGATTGATCTCGTCAGTGAGATCCTGGTTCAACAGCACAAGCAGATGATCAAATCTCGGATTGCAGGTGTTGCCGAGGTACTCAGCCTGAACGGACAGGATGACACTGCCTCGGACATTGTCGGTCGACAAATTGACTATTTGGCAAGTCGGACCGTAGGACGTCTGTTAGATCCTACTTGTGCTGGATACGTCCCTACAGAGCATACCGGTCTGATCTTTTCTGGCAGCATTTCCAACAATCAGCCTTACCAGGATCAATTCCTGCATGTCCTTACGAAGAAAGGGGCCCGGTTCGGCTATATCGAGAGTGTATCTGATGCAGGCCTCTTGGGCGTAAACCGTCTGATATCGTCTTGATTAGTATTAAGTGCGAAGGTTTAGTACCAATCAAGTATAGATTTCTTCAAGGACAAGGGGTCGTCTGGACGACTAGCTATGTCCCCAGCGATTCTCAAATTGTGTATTTTCTCATCCTGTTTGTTTGTACAAACTGTGGAAACAGGTGACATATTAACTAGTTAACAACTAGTGACCCAAGGTTATGGATAGTGAAAACTATCCATAGCTAGCTCAATCATTCGCAGCTCTTGTCATGTCCAGATCTCGACCTGAATCTCCACCAGAAGCCTCCATTCCTACTTGAATCATCGGATCTTGTACCTACGGTACCTCATCCAGTCTGTCGAGTTTAAGTATCGACACGCTCAGGCTTTCACTTGCTCCTTCTCAAGGATTGATGGAGACGAAGGTGTTGAGCTCTCGACAGGCGTGCTCGTCGCTGTTTTCCCCCTAGTCAATCCTTGGTATACTTGGATCATCTGCTGGACGCCTCCATCGACAATAGGGTACACGATCGCCACTAACATTGTGCCCCAAAGCCAGATAATCGCAACCACTACCCAGGCCACGAAGAACTAAGACGATCAGCCTCTCGTTTCGACGGGTTTGACCGGATACTCACCGTTTTGCCAAAGACATATTTGGCCCCGTACATGGGAAGTGGCCACAGAACCCAATGGCCCAGGAATGTTGCTATCGACCAGAACGCGGCGATGCGACCCCATCGTTTCAATTCTTTCGCGCTGAATGCTGGACCATTCGGCCGGTGGCTGTGCACTGTTGTGAGGTCACCTTCGAGTTCCTCCAGAGCCAGTTTCTCCTTCTTGAACTCGGCCCAATCGTAATTCTGTGGTCGCAGGAGGGTGAGGATGGTCGAGTAAACGATGGGTGAAAAGGCAGAGGCAACTGTGCCGTAGACGCAGGGCAGGATCTGGCCGGTTGTCGACACAGTGACGGCGCCATAGAAGTGCTTGGCCGTTCCCAGCCAGACACCCAGACCGGTTGCCAGACCAAGCACCGGGGCAAGGATTGCCGCTGCTTTGTTCTGCTGGCGCCACAGAATGGTAAAGGCCATTGGGAAGATGCCAGGACAGGTAACCACGCCTTTGCGGTTAGTTATGGACCTAGGAGTCAGAGGAAGACTTACCGAGCATATACAGAGTCCATCCCAGGTCTATGCCGACGTAGTGCAGCATGGTACTGAATCCGGCGGAAAAGGCCGCGAAGAAGATGACTCCAAAATGGCTGGAACGGATGATGTCGCGATCGGAAGCCTTTCGGTTGAAATACTCGCGATAGACATCAAAGCTGAGGATCGAGCTGACGGCAATCACTTGCGCCGACAGTGTCGACGTTACAGCCATGAAGGTGATGAGAAGGATGGCAGCCGCGCCTCCTTTGCCTGCAATTGCCATGGCCGCATACGGCAGGACCAGTCCATTGCTGACCTCGGTCGATGTCATGCGCTGGTATCTGTCAGTTAAACTGCCGGTAATGCTGGGGCTACGTACGCGTGGGTATGTTGGGAAGATGGGCTGATTCTCTAGACCAAGTGCGACAGAACTCATGATGGTTCCTAGGGCCCATGGAATGGCAAAGTATGCAATGCCTCCGATTGTATATCCGGGCACGACTGCCGAAGGAGCCGCCGAGAATGCTTTGATAAAGAAGCTCGTGTCCATCTAATGAGTTAGCAAGGAGCATCTCAATGGTCGCAGCACTTACAATGACCAAGCCGAAATTGGAGCAGATGTGCAGAATGCCGAAGAGGATGCCCTAATATCGTCAGAACTGTGGTAGATCGTTCCGGTAAGATAACGTACGCCTTTCGAGGTCATCGTCAGGTAAGTTGCAGCATGATTTCCAGCAACTGGATGCCGCTGCGAAGCCGACTTGACCAGCTCGTACAGGTTGCCGATGGAGCCAACCTCGTCGACCGTAAACGCTTTGATTGAAAAATAACACGCGATGATGAGTATGACGGCAGTATGAAAATAGTCGGTCAGAAACCTGCACCTCAATCTCAGATGCCATTCTTGTATGCTTGATTCAGCTGCTTACGTTGCTTTAATGCCACCAACAAAGGTATAGACAGTCACGCCGACAGGCAAGAGGAACGTCGCTGCGACAATATGGACGCCAGTTCTACTCAGGTCAGACCATATCCTCCCTCAGCTGGATGACTTACAGGGCTGCTATGACTGCCGCTGCACCCAAGAGCATATTGGCACAAGCGAAGATGTTGTTGATCAAACAAAGTGTCATGAAGACGACATGAGCGATTCGCCCTGTTTGTATCAGCTTTTTGTTATCGATATTCTGCGGACACTCTTACCATATCGGATCCGAACAACTTCCAGAGATGTATGGGCTTCGGGAATCTTCCTTTTGCAGGAGATTCCCAGCAGGGCGAAGAAGACGATCATCGGACTACAGCCAGCAGCGAACCAAAAGGGACCCGATACGCCATAATCATAGCCCACGAACGCAGAGCCCAACATGGCCGTTGACCAGAGCCATGACTATGCAGAGAGTTATTATTGATTGCCCTGCAGCGCTTGGAAAGCATATCCTACCGATATAACCGCAGATGCTGTCAATCCAGTCCGAACGGTTCGATTTGCAGTCATAAACCTGTAATGAGTTAGTCTCTAGTATTCCGCAGTATGGGAGGAGAATACATTTCGGTCTTCTTGTTATCTTCACCTGCCGTTCTCTTGAGGATCTTGGTGATGAGCATCATCACTGGGTCTGTTAGCTGTCATTCCAGGAGTAGAGACATCGCCATACCCAAAGCAATGATCAATCCCAAAACCACGACTATCACGTAGCCCACGACTTGCGGCAGAGGAGGTTGAACCACCACCTGACCATCTCGAGCTGGATGGTTTGCCATGACTGGGTACGAGTATAACTGATGTACGGAAAATACTATTCCTATGGTGCGTGGATGAGTGCGACTTCTTTGTTATTTATTTGTACTGAATACTGCACAGGCAACGTGCCGCCCTACGGTCCCCTAACATGGCTAGAATCATTCGGTTCTATGATGAGATGATGAATAAAGATTATGGTGTGCTAGATTACCAGTCTAGCATCCCCTTCTCCTCAGGTCCTGAATAGAGTGAGCATCCTGCCCAAGAACCCGACGATCTGGTCGGCGGTTCACAAGGTCCACAAGTTTGACGACTCTAGAATTGAGTTGATTTGGCCAATGAGGGGATGTACTATATAGGAGGGCATATGTATGGCATGTGGGAATTGCGCGATGAGGAGTGTGGTTGACGAAAGGAGAGATCCTCGCCCAATGATGACACCGGCAGATCACTAAATGCAACGAGTTGTCAACAACAAAAAATTTAAAATGATCTGATAAAGTCTAATGTGATTGATTCTCCTGCGTTCTTCATCTGGTTGTTCGTGGTTGTTCCCCTCATCCCACTGCAGCACGCCATTGCGGCCCACATTGATGCTATAGAGAATCCAAAAATGGGCCATCAACAAGACATGGTTGCGCATGATACGGAGGAATCTACTCCATACATAAATAATTGCGCTTCCGATTGAATTCCCTGCGGATATTGAAGCCAGGCTGACTTATTCACTTCGGTTCTCAGCGTCTTCATGAGATATACCCATTGAAAAGGAGGGCGTCACTTACAGAACTTCCAGCTCCTGTTTCCTACCCTTTTCCAGGTCATTTGGGTGTCTATCGATCATGACGGTGGCAACAGACACATCCGTCACTGACGGGCCACGAAAGTCGCTCATCCTCAATGCGTTTGTTGAGATGTGTATGTATCCAACTCTCACTGCATGACTTCTTCTGATGAATCGTAGGCAGCGGTCACCAGTCTCCAGGGCTATGGCGCCACCCAGAAGACGAATCACACCGGTTCAACGACGTAGACCACTGGATCGAGCTGGCACAGTTGTTGGAATCAGCCAAGTTTCATGGCATCTTCATCGCGGACGTCCTAGGTGGCTACGACGTGTACAAAGGACCCCGAAACCTCGCTCCGGCGATTGCTTCCGGAGCGCAATGGCCCGTCAATGAACCGCTAGCTGTGGTGTCGGCGATGGCAGCTGCGACGAGAAATATCGGATTTGGGGTGACGGTGACGACGACCTATGAGCAGCCATATCATTTGGCTCGCCGGCTATCGACGGTTGATCACTTGTCCAAGGGACGGTATGTGAGTTCGAATCTGATGCGAAAGCTGCTAACGTGACTTGCCCAGATTGGGATGGAATGTAAGCATTCTGTCACCGTATAACAATAATCATCGGGCTTATAAAGAATGGTAGGTTGTCACAGGCTATCTGGACTCAGCAGCTCGGAACTTAGGCCATGCCCAGCAACCCCAGGTATGTCCAATCTCAACCCGCCAGCTTGGTCTAACAAGGTCAGCATGACGACCGATACGCGGTTGCGGAAGAATACGTGAGAGTAACGTACAAACTCTGGGAGTCATCCTGGCGCGACGACGCTGTCGTCCTCGATCGTGAACGCGGAATCTACACCGAACCCAGCCGGGTCCGAGAAATCAACCACGAGGGCAAATACTTCAACGTCCCCGGTCCACATCTGTGCCAGCCGAGCCCGCAGCGAACGCCCGTCATCCTTCAAGCTGGCACCTCCAAGGCAGGAAAGACGTTTGCCGCACAACATGCGGAGGCGATCTTTGTGGCCGGACACAGTCCTGCAGTGGTTGCGAAGAATATCGCAGAGATCCGTGCGATGGCGCATGCAGTCTTCGGACGCGATCCCAAGAGCATCAAGTTCCTGGCACTTTTGTGCCCGGTGTTGGGCCGTACGGAGGAAGAGGCACGTGAGAAATTCCAGTACTATCGCAGCCTAGGCTCGATCGATGGCGCACTGGCGCTCTTCGGCGGGTGGACGGGAATCAACCTGGACACGTACGGTGATGATGAAGAGCTTCGACATGTAGAGAGCAATGCAATTCGGTGAGCTTCCATTCTCATCAACCGGAAATGGTGCTAACTGGCATGTAGCT